ACACTTGTGGGGGAGAGAGGGCTGGCATTGAGTGGCGGACAGAAGGCTAGGCTGAGTCTGGCCCGGGCTCTGTACCACTCGGCAGACATCTACCTCTTGGACGACCCTTTGAGTGCTGTCGACACACGTGTGGCCAAACATATCTATCAAAAGTATAGCTTATTATCCAAATGACAAAATGCTTAATGTGTTTACTATTGAATCAGATGTTGTGTTGAGTACTTGAAAGACAAGGTGACTATTTTAGTGACCCATAGCATCCAGTTTCTCAAAGACGCGCATCAAATACTTGTGCTCAACGACGGCGAGTGTGTGGCCATCGGGTCCTACACTCAGCTCAAAGAGGGCGGCATTGATCTCATGGCATATCAGAGACAAACTGATGGACCAATTAATCGCAGAGCTGTGAAGAGGAGGACATCTGTCACACCATCGATGGTCTCATCTCTTAGTGAGGGATCAGATGTGACGGACTTTAGGGAAGCGGAAGAAGTGTACGAACAGGAAGTGAAGGCCGAACTCAAACTAATTGGTTCCGTTGAGTCGAGTGTTTATTTGTCGTATATTAAGGCCGGCGCCGGACCTCTGCTCGTAATTCTTACCATTTTGTTTTTGATCGCTTCCCAAGTCCTTTATCAGGGAAGTGTTTACTGGTTAAGCTTATGGTCAGTAATATAAGGGACTACCAAATTAAATTTAATTTAATTTCAATCAATATATATTAGGACTAATGAAATGCGCAAAACGCCTGATAAAGTGGATCAAACATTTAACATAATTATCTACACGAGTCTAACCTGTGGTCTGTTTGTGTCGGCCCTGTTGTCCATTATTTGCTTCTACATAATGTGTATGAGATCTTCGGTTAATCTCTATAACAAAATATTTTGTGCGTTATTGCGATCACCGATACATCTGTTTGAGAGTTCACCCATTGGTAACACTCTTAACACTATTTGCTATCAATTTTAATGATTGATAAATCAATTTATTTAACAATAATTTTTAGGACGAATACTAAACAGATTTTCAAAAGACACGGGAATTGTGGACGAATTGTTACCATCGGTTGCCTTTGACTTCATTATTGTAAATTAATTTAAAAAATTATAATTATTTATTTATGATATAATACACTAATACTGTTTTTTTTAATAAATAGAGATTATTTGTAATTATCGCAAGTCTTATATTGAATGCAATCGTCAATTGGTTTCTGATATTTCCGGCAATACTTTTGTTGATATTAGTGTTTATTTGTCGCTATTTCTACATCAAAGCCGCGCGTGATATCAAACGTTTGGAGGGGTTGTGTATGTAGTGTCACATAAATTTATTTTGAAAGTTGCTTACTCTCTCTCTCTCTCTCTCTCTCTCTCT